GTATTTGTTTTAATTAAAAAATCAATTTATCTGTCTTTTTCTAAAAAATTTATTTATAAATTTTATTTATAAATTAATACAATTTGATGGAAGATGAAGTTTATTTAAAAAATTTTGTGTATATCAATTTTTTGTAAACAGAAAGTCAACTTTCGATAGTAACTATGAAAATTTAATAATCAATTTATAATAATGAGTTATCAATTTCCTAGTCTTAATTTTATTTAGTTTCGTAAATGCTGATAAACTATATAAAATTGAAAGCATTAAATTTGCTTGAAATTATTTTATTATTTCTATTGTTAATTATATAAAAATGTTAATTTTAATTTTAAAAATTCATATAAAGTAATAATTATATACGAAGTAAATTAATATATTTAAAATATTTAATTTTTAATAGATAACATATTTTATTGTATTATATATTTTTAGTAATATTTGAAATAATAAGATGTACTGTCAATGGAACAAGAAAAAGAAATCGTATAAGCATCAGTATATTTACACCTATAAACCCGAAATACAATATATGACTAATTTCAAACAATTTTAATACTTAATTGTCATTTAGAATTTAAGAATTCCAGAATTTTAATAAGAACTGACTTTAAACATTAAATGGTTATATTAAAATCATCTAATAAAATTGTTTGTACAAATTTACGTATATAGTTATAATTACAAGAATTTTGGTAAAAACTATATTTGAAAAGTTATAATTAGAAGCATATTTGTAAAATGTGTATGTGTAAGGTACTAATTAGAAGTATATTTGTAAATTTTTAAATATTAGTCAATTATCAAATTTCTTAGCATCTAATTATAGTCAATCTAAATCTATTAAATTTTATTTTACTTATTTAATTTTACTTCATAAATTATTGTCTAAATTTTAGCTTGTATATAAATGAATTATATAATATAAAAATTCAACAAAGCACATTTATTTAGTCTGTAACAGAGTATAGAAGGGGATATCTGATACTAGATTACGTAAAATAAGTTGCATATCTGTAGTAAGACTACAAAAAAGCGAAAACAAATTATATTTTACGTTGTAATAAGTCATGATAAAGAAAAGCTATTAATTGTAGAAAATTTTGTTTTATAAATTATAGTAGCATATTTATTTTTAATACATTAATTTATTTTTTATATATTTTTTAAGAAAAAAAAGTAAAAATGCTTATTGCAATATTTTAGCGAATTTATCATTGTAACAAAGCTTATATTTATTTATTGAATTATTTTACTTTGTAAATCATATAGATTTTAAACTTTAAAGAAAATTAAAATTAGTGTAAGACTTATAAATTTTTATTGTGGAACTAAATGTTTATATTCGTTTTATATTTCATACATTAATATAATTTTTTAAATATTAATTTCTTCTAACAGAAGTTTCATTCAGAAAAAATCAAACAAATACATCAGCAATAATAATCATCGCCCTTTATTATGTTCATTTTTCTTGCCAGTCTCGATCAATAAGTATTAATCTACAAATTTATTTAAATAATAAATTAATAAATTTATTTATTTTTAAAGTATTAATTTAAAATTAAGTAAAATTATATTTATTATACGGCTTATGTAAACAATTAGGCACTTATTAACATCTATTATTATAACATCTAAATTTGTATATTTATTATATGATTATAAATTGTAATCTTTTTATATTTAATTTTATGATACTATTAAGATTTATGACATTAAATATTATTAGAAAAACAAAAAACAAATATCAAAAATAACTAAATCCAAATAAAGATTTAAATAACTAAATAGAGAGAAAGAGAGAGAGAAAGAAAAATTACAAAAAGTTAATATATAATGAAATTTGGCAGCAAGAAAGTGTTAGATTATCATTTTGATACAATGATTATTTTCTATTTCTATATCTTGAATTGGGATGTTTTTTAAATGTATTATTATATTTTGTAATTTTTTAATTTTAAATTGAGATATAGTATCCCTAAAATACTGATAAATGTTAAAAAAAAGTACCCACCTATTACAAGAATTTAACTAGTTAACTAGATATATAAAATGATGTTTTTTAACTAATTTCTTTAGCTAATAATAACATTTAAATATTTTATATTTAGTTCAATTTCCTTGTTCTTTAAAATTTTATATTTTTAGTGACTTATATGAAATAAAAAATTAAATTCTATTATTTGAAAATATCTTAATATATTAAATATATATAAAGGAAATTCACTACAATACTCATCGAAATAAATTGAATAAGTTATATTTACATATTAAATAATTATATATATATATATATATATATATATATATATATGTTATATTAAATAATTAAATATATTGAATGATAGTTAATATAATAATGAAATATACATATACGTGTTTAATCTATCCTTAGAAAAATAAGTTTTTCTATCACTATGAATATAAAAATTATGGATTACATTTTTGACATTTAAAAATGAAAGCAAAACATATCTATGCATTATATAAATACTTAAAATCAAATATATTATTCAAATTTTTGGTGCATTTAAGAATTTTGGCAACATTAGGTTATTTCAAAGTTCTGAATCTTGATAAAATATTCTGAAATATAAATTATTTTGTAAAAACAAGTTTATAAGTATATATAAATATAACAATAAGAAAATTTATAATCGTTTATCACAATTTAGTAAATCATATACTCTATTAATTATAAAATATAAAAGAAATTTTATACTCTAACAATTTCCTTTTATACTCTTCTTTATTAATCATAATTGTCATTTACGCAGTTTATTTCTTTTTGTAATATCATATTTTATTTCAGTTAAATTTCTTAGCTTTTCTTGTCATTTTTAAAACTATTTTTCTTGAATAATTTAAAAATTCTTTAATATAATTTTTAAAAATCTGCTACACAATTATTATTTAGTCTACTTCATTCCATTATTACCTTACTAAATTAGTTTAAAAATTCAAATGAAATTTTAGATCGTAATTTTGTTCAAAAATAATATAATTGAAAAATTCTATTTGTAAATATACAGTTCGTGTAGTTGTGATATATTAATAGATTGTTACATTGAATTATAAATCAGAACATAATATTGTGAATGGAGGAATACGTATATTATTATATCTACGAATAGGTATTACAATAAAATAAAAATATATTAAAGTATTTTTATTTTTATTACATATATAAATATCAATAAATCCATTAAGTATCCAATAATAAATGTGGAATATAATTTAACATTTATATCGAATCTTATATTTTTTTAATGACAAATTAATTTTATTACGGTGATTATTTTTTATATTTTTTTAAACGAATTAAATAAATCAAATTTTTTTAATAATATTTGAAATATAATATTTAAATAAAATATAAATTTTATAGTGTAATTAGTTATATAAAAATAAGTTCATAATTTTAACAATTACTTTTACTATTAGTATTATTAATTAATATTAATTTAATGATATAATTAAACATGAAGTTGTTTTTGAAACTACTAAAAGACTTATAACTAAATTTATCGATAAATAAAAATTAAGAAACTCACATCGATAACATAATAATTATTAATATAGTGATTAATATTTTTTACGCAGAATTTGCTTCAATTTATTATACAAAATGTTTATAAATTATACCATATTTGGATATATTATAATATTAATACTTGAATTAAATTTGATATATTTACTAATGATTAAAATCAGTTTTTTGTGATTTTATTTATTTAATTAATATTACATAAAAATATAAAAATTCCAATATTAAAAAGATATTTCTATGTAAATTTAAAAGGCATGTTTAAAAATTTTAGTTTCATTTACTAAGCCAGTGAAAAACATTAAATATAATATAATCAAATAAATTAAATTTTTCAATGTATTTTATTATTATTTGTAGTTCTATATTGATAGGATTTCTTTTGTTTTCAAATTTTTTTAATTAGCATTACAAATAAGTTGATTTAATATTATGTTTATTATTAATAAATTTATAGAGATTTTGATTCTGTCATGCATCATTGTTCTAAATTTTTATAAATCGGTATTATATCCTTGAGACAAATAAGTAGATTAATATAGATAATATTTTTATAGATTCTGTTTAGCCTTTAAACGTGATACATGATGTTTATTTTTATATTATTTCTTTATTACACTAAAATATAAATTTATGTACCAAATTACTTATTATTATGTAATATTAATTAAAATTTGTATAAATATATTAATTGTCGTTACTCAGTTTAAGCTTTCTTCATGAAAGTTTAAAAACTTAAAATAATAAATAAAATATTGTAATAGCAATAACGATAGTTCAACGATCCAAAATATATACACAAGTATAAAAAAAAAATATATATATATATATATATGTATATATATATATATATATATATATATTCTTGTGATGATCATATCCTTAAATATTTTTGGAATGCATATCAATTATAAGCAAGAAAGAATAAATTGAACAAATAGTAATAGTAATATAATCAACCTTGTCAAAATAATCGCCCATGCAAAACACGTAAAGAAATCTATAAAGCTTTCTATCGCGTACGCATGCGTGCACGCGCGTTTGCAGTTACATTTAATCGCGCAGGTAAGGCTACATGCTGTTTCAGTGTGCCGGTTAAAAGGATGTATGGTTGAGTGGAATTTGTTTATTATGTGGTGTTTGAATCAGATATCACCGAAAGTTCAAAATTATGCAGATTCTTTTATGTTGTATATATATATATATACTTACAGAAAATACTCCACGCATTTTGTAGTAAGATTAATTATTGGAAAAGGTATCGCACGTAAAATTGCATTTTATTTTACTTTTATTTTCATTCTAGGAGGAAACATGCAAGCATGTGCGTTCAAATCCGTGAGCTTTTTTTCACCAGACTTAAAGACAAGCACGAGAAACAAAGAGAAAAGAAAGAGACGAAGATGATTGTATCATCTTTCTTCTCTCTTGTTGGCTTGATATCGCTTACCTTCGATACGAGCGGTAACACGGCTTGCTCTATGCTACGACTTTTAAAGTCTAGAGTAGCTGGATCTACAGAATCTGTTTTAGTTCCAATTGGTGCTGTTGCCATGATATTTAAGTTTTTACAATTTTGAAAGCCTAGAAAGTCGATACAAACTCGCACACACAACACGAACTCACTAGATAGACTTCGGTGTGGTGTTAAAGAGCGCTTCTCTTCTAGGCCTCCCCTCTTCCTACGAGAAGGGAGAAAGAAAAAGAGAGGAGTGTTAGAAAGAGGGAAAGGACTGAGTGAGAGAAAGAGAAGAAAATTCGTTTGAACCTTTGTGTCTGAACGTTAGTTTTATCTGTATTTCTTGGGCATGAGCATTTCCTTTTATTCGCTGCCTATAAATTTCATATATACGATACTGCATAAATTATACTATGAAGCGTAAAGCGCTATATTGACATCTACAATGAGATTGAGTTTGCGCATACGATGTTGATTTTTAATAAAAAAAAAGAAACCATTATATACAACATGCACATAACTTGAGGCTAAACATAAATTGGCTCGCATTTGCTCGAGAGCTTGAATTGCTGACATCTAGCGGATATAATTACAAATGTTAATTAAAATATAACAATTTAAAAAATAAGAAGTATTAATAAAATGGAAACTTACATTCAAATTGTGTACATTAAAATGTATTTTACGAATATTAAGATATTGTAGTGATTTAAGTTTTTTAGTAATAAAACAAGAAAATGATCGTTACATTTAGACATAAGCGAGATTTCTAAATTTTAATTTTAAATTTAAAAAGAATAATTTTATCCAATAAAATTCTTATTATATAACTGACTTATATTTATTTTTTATTTTCTCAATTTAAATCACTTATAAAAATAGATTATATACATTTTGGCTAAAGTTAGTAATTAAAAAAAAATAGAAAATTGAAAGTATAAATGATTTAACTTATATTCGATTAATTTATTTTCAGATGAAGGTAAATCACCATAATTATTTCATAATTAAAATGAAGTTGTTGATAACATATTATTCATCAAAATACTTTTCTAATTTCTATATTTGTATATATGTATAATATGATAAACATTATTTGATAAAATACAAATTTAATGATACATTATATTTAAAATCAGTAGAATAAGTTGTTGAATAACATTGAAAGGTCATTTTGATAGAAATTTTTTTAAAAATATAATACTTTTATTTACTTTAAAGTTTTAATTTTATTTTTAACATTACATTTGTAATGTTATTTGTAATGTTTATTAAAAACTAATTTTGCATTGATTTCAAAAGAATTTATGAAATGTAAGATACATTTTTAACAAATGACTTCGATTTTTTTATAGAAAATTTTCTATTACATTATGATTATTATTATAATACAATTAATCTTTTAGAAAGATGCCTTTCTCAAATTTTATTACACAAATTTCATTTTTATGAATTGCAAATTCATTATAGAGTCTATTTTTCTTTTTACATCATAATTCAGTAGGTAATAAATATTCAACTGCCTTCAAATATTTACAAAAGTTGTTATGTTATTTCAAGTTATAACTTTGTTGTCTAGATATTAGAATTATTTTATATTTATAAATTTGATAATTGATGAATACAAAAATTTTCGAGGGTAAACTAGCGTTTATAAAATTCGTTTGAATATTAATTAAAATTTAACTTCAATAGTAGGTCATTTTAACTGTTCATATTCGATTTGCAATTGATGATGAGTAAACACAACTTGATGTCAAGTAACTTGTTTTTTTATAAAGAGTATGTTGTCACAAAGATCATTAGTCCTTAAACTTTATAAAATCCAAATATTTATCAAAGATAAAAATTTGTAGCATTTGTATTCTACATACTTTACATAAATAAATAGTTAATATTAAAAATTTTAACTTCAGACAATTATTTAAAATAAGAAAGTATATAAATTGAATATATTTATTTTTTAAAAATTGATGTATACTTAGAAAAATATATAACTATGGGATTAAGAAATATTTTAAAAATTTACTTATATACTAATTTAATTGCTGGATTCTATTGATATTCATAAAACATTTTTTACGAAAAATTTCATATTAGAATTTCATTCTTTATATGCATCCTTTGTATATTTTAAGAAATTAAAAATTTTAAAAATACTGTTTCTCAAAATTTTCCATGATATCTCTGATTAGATAAGTATAGTTATTAATCATAAATTAGTAGTACTTAAAATTATACACAATCTGAATATCAGTTAATATTAATAAATAACCAATAAATATATTATATTTGAAGGTAGTCTTAGCAATAATAGATTCATAAAAATTGTGGGTGTATTATTTAGATATTATCTGATTTTTTGCATAATTTTATTTATAAAATTATTATTATAATAACATAATACACATTATTAAATTATATAAAATTTAACACTTGATAGTTAATATTAGTAGTAAAACGATAATTGATATATGTATATACTGAAAAATTAATTAATTTTTTTATATATAAATTTAATATCAGTTATTAAAACATTTTTAATTCATTGTTTTAAGTCATATTAATTGTTTAATCGTAAATATAACTATTATTATCTAAATATTTAAATAACTTAAAGAATACCTTAAAATTACAAAATAAATATTTATATAAGTAAATATATGTTCTAGTATTAAATTTATACTTGATCAATTTCTTTAAGATTTCTGATGTTAAAATTTCAACTGGATTTTTTAAAGCTTTATGTCAAATGTTTGAAAGTTGTTCTGGAACAACTAAAAATTCACCATGAGCCTGTAAGCGAGCCCTTTTTTCTAAACTCAATTCCAGTACCTGATTATTATGATTACTGCAATAAAAATTTTGTTTTCATACTTTTGTTTGTTTATTCTTTTGAATATTGTATATTGAAATAAATATGCCATATGCAATAGTTTTTAGTCTGTTCAGTTTATTTTTATTATATATTATTCATTATTTGTATTCATATTTTCAGTTTATATCTTTAATAGTTACCAGCTCAATTGTTCTTTCAGGTTTCTTTAACATTGAACAGTATCCTCAGTTTCAGAGCGATTGGCATTGCTATAACGCAAAATTTTTTTCATTAATTTAAAGCCTTCTGGTCTTGTATAGTCATCAGGAACATCCTCAATCTCATTTAATTGAATGCCACTTTTGTTATAACATAAAAACTTATGAAGTTCCTGATTCTACATATGTACCTTTCTGAAGTTTATTAAATTGAATTTTAATTTCTATACATTCGATAACTAACATATTTAAATTTTGGTTTTATTAAAGATTAAAATATTTTAAAAAATATTAATCTGAATTATTAAAAATTATGATTAATTTTTGTTTACCGATATTAAATTATTTTCAAATAATTAAATTTTAAAATATAATTAATAATTATATAAGCATAAATATGCTTACAGTCTATGCAAAATGAATAAATTGTGCCTGTCTTAATTTAGGATGAATAAAACCTTTTATTGGCAATCTTTGTTGCATATGTTCCTCTGTCTTGTACCATCTCTTTGTAATAAATATTACATCGACGTTTTTCAAGCCTTCTCACAGTAGTGCCTGTTATCCTTCCTTTTTATCATCATAATTATTCAAAATTCTTTTATATTGTTCCTCCAAATTTCTTTCGAACAGTATAACCTCTAAAATGGCTTTGCATGATAACCACCGCATTATCGTTAATTTCCTTCTCTTGAAGATCTATACAATTATATTTGTTTTCATGGCATTTCCTACAGTTTTCTCTGTAAAAAATCCATATTTTATTAATATTACCACAATCATTAATTTGAAATTAGTTTTTGGTAAACTCAAACTAAATGATCATTTATATAATTACAATGAAAAATAAATTTTAATTCATATATTGAACAGAAAATTTAAATGAATATAGTTTTTGAAATAATTTATAAAAGATTATTAAATTAAAAGTTAAAAATATTAAGTTATTAACCTATTAAAAATTAATTTTTTTATCTATTCAAATTTGAGACTACAATTTATTTGAAATAATTTTTAACAAAATCTTAAAAAATTAAATCTATTTTAAAAAGATTAATTTTATGAAAGTGATATAATGTAAATACTACTTTCCCAAAACTTGTAGCATGATTTTAGAAATTAATTTGCTTTCTACCTTGAATATTAGGTTTTATCGTTATCCATTCACATATAAAATGCTATAAAGTATGAACAGATACTGCTATCTTTTTCTATTTTGCAGTGACTTTTAGCCAACCATCGGCACACCCATGCTTGCACCATGACGATTTTCTCTAATTGTTCCTCATATTGTTTGGATAAAAATTCTACATGATAATATTTAAGAAACACTTTCGTTCGTCAAGTGCCCATCCATCCATTTTTAGTCTTTAAAAAGTTCTTTCGTTGTTAATTAAAAAAAATTTCTCTATTCAATTTCTATAGATTTCAAATTCTTAATTATTTTACATTTCAAATTAAAAAAATTTATAATAAATACAATATTTATTAATATTATATTTATTTTTAAGTATTTATTAATAAATACAAAAATCATATTGTTAAATCTAAATAAACAATAGTTTCTAAATAATGAATTATTAGTATATCGAAGAATGTCTAAATTCATGTAATTTGTTTCTATTAGAATAATATTAAATAAACAAATAATTTAATCAATACACCTATTAGGAAATTCACAGAAGGCTATTTTATGGGAGAATCCACTTTGTCTTATTTTTATTGTTTTCAAAATACCAGTATATCTTAATGGTTTAATTACTTTTTCTTTATTAATGTATTTTGGACTTTTATTGTCATTCGGTGTAATATATCTAATAAATTGTGTGCAACAAGAAACCATTTTTTAAAGCAAATCTATTAAGGAATATCTAAAATATGTTGCCGTAGTTGCTGAGCTCGTTATTGACATGCAAGACGACTTGAATATATTTCCTTTATAAATAAACAAAATAAATAAATTTTAATACAAAAATAACGAAATATATATTTTTGAATACCTTTGTATTTTTATTTAAAGAAAATAATTTTTTAGAATCATTTTCTTGGATAGTAGAATAAAGATTGCTGATTTTTGTAATTAGACACTGAAACAAAAACCAAATGATACTCTCATGAGATTGACGCACGAGTTGTATGATTTCAGGTAGTAAAACATTTCTATTCTTTTCCAGAAATCCATTTGTTTGATAAACAACTCACCCAGCAAAATGATTAATTCCAAAGGAAACAGCATCAGACTTCGGTCTTTTGTAAAATTTGGATTTCATATTATTATAAAACTTTTCTAAAAATTAAAATACATTCGCTTAGATGAATAAATTATTTCATCATTTAATGCTTATCGATTATTTGATATTATATACAATATAATGAAAAGTATAGACATTAAAATAAAACTACCCACTGCTTAAGAAAATGTTAAACTCATGTAAATATTTTACATGAGTATGTAATATTTTAAACAAAAATATTTATTATTAGAAAAGTATTAAACATATAAAAATGTTAACAAGAAAATTACTTATCAACCATCTATCATTTGCTCTTGAAAATTTGCTGTCTTCATACAACAGTGCAAGTAGACCCATACATTTACT